AGATAGATAGATAGATAGATAGATAGATAGATAGATAGATAGATAGATAGATAGATTAATCACATGATAACCTCTGCACCTAACACTTTGAAATTGATTTGCAGCTCTCTTTTTCCCTTTTGCCCTAATTTCTTAGTACAGCAGCTGTGTCCCACAGTTCATCTCAGTCCCTCAGATTGGTATGGAATGGTCCCTGGATCCTCAGTAAATGACTGCTGAACCTAAACTGACTGTAGTTTGGGGTTGAATAGCAGAGAAGATAAAGGCTGATTTGGTCTAGATCAAGAACATCAAAATTCAAGGAAAGTTTTTTTTTTTGTTTATATCAGGTTGGTGGGAGGGAGATTGCTTTATGACTTGCTTCATGCCTGATGTCCTGAGCACAAACAAATACAGCAGCTCCTGTACTGCATAGATCTTTCTTTCTTCTCTGATCACCTAAGCCAGCTCTGAGTTCATTCTTTTGCTCCTCAAAAATGGCTAAGTTTGAAGAAAATATGAATAAGTATTTGGTCAAGGAAAGTTTTTTATAACTTCCCTCAATAGTAATTTTAAGTGTCATAGGTATGAGAAAGAAAAAAGAGTCATGGTGTGAGTTTTTCCCATGTGCTGTAATCTCACAATGTGATAGTCACACAGCTTTTGTTTCCCTCTATATAGTCTGGCTTATCTTTTCAAGACAAACAGAGAATGCTTACTATCAATGTCTGCATTGGGATCTTTTTGCTCTTCCAGACCACAATTGGAATCCTGGCAAAAGTCTTCCTCCTTTCTCTTTATATTTTGAATTTCCTATCTGGCCATAAATTAAGGCCACTAAACTTGATTCTGACCCAGCTAATCTTGGCCAACATCACTATACTGGTAAGCAAGGGAAGCCCAGAACTACTACAGGCTTTTGGGATAAGCTATTTCCTGGATGACATTGGATGCAAAATGATAGTTTCCCTTCACAGAATTGCCCAGGGGCTTTCAATTTCCTTCACCTGCCTTCTGTGTAGCTTTCAGGCCATCACCATCAGTCCCAGTGATTCCACACTGTCAGACCTCAAAGCCAGAATTCCAGAATTAATTTCTACCTTCTGTCTCTTTTGTTGGATATTTAATATCTTGATAGAAATTCCTGTGCCAATATTTGTGAGAGGACCAAGGAGTACTACAAACAATACAAATGAATCTAATGTTATATGTTGTTCAATGGGAATATTGATAGATGTTTGATAGATATTGATGTATGTATTGATAGATAGATTAATCACATGATGACCTCTGCACCTAACACTTTGAAATTGATTTGCAGCTCTCTTTTTCCCTTTTGCCCTAATTTCTTAGTACAGCAGCTCTGTCCCACAGTTCATCTCAGTCCCTCAGATTGGTGTGGAATGGTCCCTGGATCCTCAATAAATGACTGCTGAACCTAAACTGACTGTAGTTTGGGGTTGAATGGATGTGAGTGGATGGGGTTGAATGGATTCCTTACATTCCAGATCATTTATTGAAATGTTTAGCCCCTAGGCATCTTCTCTCCAGTGAGGATTCCTCCAAGAGCCTCCATTTAAGGAGCATGCCAAGGCCAACCATCTCTTCATTTCCCACTCAACCGTACTTCACGGGACTTTGCCTTCATGCCCCCAGAAATTCATCATACTGCAAAAGTACTTCAAAACTAAAATTCACATCTAATCTGTATCCTGTTCCCCTAGAGGCCCTTCCCTTTGGTTGGAAGAAGTGGAGATGAAGGACTCCTCCAAAACCTTCCATGTAAGAAGGACTCCCAGGTGAGTAATCTTTTTGTTTCCCACCTGGAGGCACTCCTCTGAGCTTCACCATCATGCCCAAGTGTCCTGGATACCTTCCTTTCCATTGTCTTTTCAGCTTCCTTTTATGTGTTGTCTTCCCCCATTATTCAGTCATTTATTCATATTTGTCTGATCAGCCACAGTCAGATACACTGTAACTTGATTCTAGCATGGTGATGTCATTTTGGTCCTCTTCAAGAACAAAGGACAACAACCAATAAACATTTATTAAGTGCCTACTATGTGCCAGACACTAAGCTAAGAGTTGCAGATACAAAAAATCAAGTCAGTCTCTGCCCTCAAGAAGTTTACAAATGAAGAGGAGATAGCATACAAACAAAAATATACAAAGCAAGCTATGTACAAGATAAATTAAAAAATAATTTAAAAAGTGAAGGAACTATAATTATTGTCAGAAAACCATAGAATGGGAAAGGCAAGAGATCTCTTCAAGAAAACTAGAGATATCAAGAGAAATTTTCATACAAAAACAAGCATGAAAAAAGACAAAAATGGTAGGGATTTAAGAGAAGCAGAAGAGATCAAGAAGAGGTGGCAACAATAAACAGAAGAACTATACAAGAAAGATCTTAACATCACAGATAACCAAGATGGTGTAGTTACTGATCTAGAGTCAGACATCCTGGAGAATTAAGTCAGGTGGGCCTTAGAGAGCATTGCTAGCAGTAAGGCTAACAAAGAACCATAATCTTGGAAGATATTTTTAAGAGCAAGGGAGTTGGGGCAGCAACCAAGAATAACTTACACAGAAAAGCCGAATATAATCCTGAATGGAAAAATTGACATTTGAGGAACTCAAAGACTTTCAAGTATTTTTAACAAAAAAAAGAAAACTTAATGGAAAATTCAATATAAAATATCCAGAAATATATAAGGAAAACATTAAAGACTAATTATAAGGCGTTCATTAAGTCAAATTATTCACTTACATGAAAATGTTATCAGTATTCTTAAAACTGTCATAATTACTAAAGTAGTTTGAAAGAAAGGTTGGGGCTCAGTTGTGTATGATGGGGTGATTCTAAAAAAACAAAACTGAGTAGGAAAAGGTAAAAAAAAGAAATCTCATAAAACAGGGCATAAAAGGAAGAACTAATACAGAGAAAGTAGGTTGGGGTGGAGAGCTGGTAATGTTTAAAACTTACTCTCATCTGCATTGAAGAGGTAACAACATATACATCTGGAGAGGTTTAGAAGTCTTCTGAACTTCTAGAGAAGTGAGAAAACTGGGGGACAGGGAATTTTAGAAGGATGTATAGATTAAGATTAGAAGGGTGGGAGGAGAAGATAAGGGAGTGATTTTTAGAAGGGTAGGTAAAATAAGGAATTAGAGGGTAAGGGGAAAAGAATAAGTTACAGGGATAGGGTAAAATGAGAGGCTGAGAAGGAAAAATAGTGAGTAAAAATGAGATGGAGGGAAATTCACAAAAGATAATTACAATTTTGAATGTGAATGGGATGAACTCATTCATAAAGCAGAAATGGATAGCAGAATGGGTTAAAAATCAGAATCCAACAATATGTTTTTTACAAGAAACACATTTAAGAATGATACAGGGTTTAAATGAAGGGTTGGAATAGACTTTATTATGCTTCAGCTGATGTAAAAAAGGCAGGAGTAGCAATTATGTCTCAGACAAAGTTATGGCTACAGTGTAACTACATTTTGATAAAAGGTGCCATATTTCTAGCTATGTGACCCTGGGCAAGTAACTTAATCCCCATTGCCTCACCAAAAAGCAAAAAATAAAAACAAAAATAAAAAAGATAAAAGGTACCATAGACAATGAAGCAATATCAATACTGAGCCTATATGCACCAAACATTATAGCATCTAAATTTTTAAAAGAAAAGTTAAGTGAATTACAGATAGATAGTAGTACTATAATTGTATGGGACTTTAATCTTCTCCTCTCAGAAACAGATAAATCTAACCAAAAAATTAATAAGAAAGAAGTTAAGGAAATGAATAGAATTTTAGATAAGCTAGATATGATAGATATCTGGAAAGAAGTGAATGGAAATAGAAAGTAAGGCAGCTTTTTCTTGATGGTCCATGGTACCTTTACAAAGATTGATCATGTATTAGTACATATAAATTTTATAGTTAAAAGCAAAAAAGCAGAAAAATTAAAAATATCCTTTTCAGATCACAATGCGAGAAAATTACATTTTATGAGGGATCAAGAAGACATAGATTTTAAACTAATTTGAGATTAAACAACCTAAATTTAAAGAATGAGTGGACCAAAGAAGAACTCATAGAAGCAATCAATAATTTCATTAAAGAGAATAACAATAATGACACATCATATCACAATCTATGGAATACAGCAAGATCAATGATTGGAGGAATATTTATATTTCTAAATGCTTACATTGATAAATTAGAGAAAGAGCAGATTAATGAATTGGGTATGCAATTAAAATAATGAGAAAAAGAACAAATTTAAACTCCCCAATTAAACACTAAGTTAAATTCTAAAACTTAAAGATGAGATTAATAAAACTAAGAGTAAAAACATTGAATTAATAAATAAAAACTAGGAGTTGGTTTTATGAAAAAACAAATAAAATAGATAAATAATTGGTTAATTTTATTTAAAAGAGAAGAAAACCAAATCACTAGTATCAAAAATGAAAAGAGTGAATATACCACCAACAAAGATGAAATTAAAGCAATTACAAGGAATTATTTTGCCCAATTATATGCCAACAAATTTAACAATTTAAGTGAAATGGAAGAATATTTACAAAAATATAGACAGCTTACATAAACAGAAGAGGAAATAGAATAACTAAATAGACCTATTAGAAAAAGAAATTAAACAGACCATAAATGAGCTTCCTAAGAAAAAAAGTACCAGGACCAAATAGATTTACAAGTGAATTCTATCAAACATTTAAATATCAATTAATTCTAAAACTAAATAAATTATATGGAATAACAAGTAAAGAAGGAATCCTACCAAACTCCTTTTATGAAATAAATATGATAGTGATACCTAAACCAAGAGGAGTAAAAACAGAGAAAACAATCATAGACCAATTTAATTGATGAATATAGATGCAAACATCCTAAGTAAAATACTAGCTAAAAAATTATAATGATATATTACAAAGATTATACATTGTAATCAAGTGGGATTTATACCATGAATGCAAGGATGGTTTAACATAAGGAAAACTATTAACAAATCCACAAATAAAGATTCCTAATGGAGACAGGAAATGGCTAAAATATTACTATGGCATTTCACTAATTGAATTTCATTTATTTGATTATAAATACCCCCAAAATCCATTCTGTTTGGTTGTTTTGGTGATAATATTATTTATATGTTTTTACCTGGAACTCTGCCCAAAAACTTCCATAAAGAAAATGTGGTATTGATTTTGAGACATAAAAAAACACTAAAAGTGAAAATTTTCTTAGTGAATGTAGAAGCAAAAAATACTAAATAAAATATTAGGTAACATAATACAGCAGTACATTTAAAGTGTTAACCATGACAAAAAAAGGGTATATACCCAATAAGGTTTGTTCAAAAACCATAAGCAATAAAACATATAAACTGCAATAAATGAATGATAAAGTTAGATAATAAAAAGGACTTGAAATGTGATCTCTATTCAGTGCTCCTAAGAATATATTATAAGGGTGAGGTTATGAATTTATTTAACTCCATTCTTACTTAAAGTGGGACCTTGTTCTAGGTCTTTTAATGTTATGGGGTAACCTGTGCAGTGCACGAGCTATAGATTTTGCTAAAACACTCTCTATGTGACCAGCTTACCTCCATTCACTGTCATATATACCTCCCATAATAACTTTCACATGTTGTCTTGCATAAGAGGAAGAAGAGAAAATGCCTATAATTATTAAGATCCTACAGATGCTCTTATTGAAAGAGAACAATTTATTTCAAGGGAGAGAAAGGGTTCATAAAGTATAGTACATTTATCTTGGAGAGGAACTAAAGAATGAAAATAAATGAATAAAAATGATAACATTCATGAAATAAATTTACATACTTAAACCAATACCAATCATTCAATGAGGATTTATTTAGTACCTATTATGTGCCAGGCACTGTGCATGACAGTAGTATTACAAAGAAAAAAAATTAAGTCCCTGCCCTTAAGCAACTTCCATTCTATTGGTAGAGATAATATATACATATGGGTGAATTACATATATATGTGTTCATATGCATATACACACATAGATATAAAGATGTACTCTTTCCAGTCTTCAGGAAATGTGCAACTCTTAAATGCCAAGTAATAGACTAGGAGATGTAAGGACACTTCTCCTATCAAACTCTCTTTGCATTTCATAGAAAGTGGGCCCTTTTTCAGATATGATCATTCTTGGCTCTGAAAAGTAGACAAGGCTTT